GAAATGGCCATTCCGGTCTCCCTTTGCTTTGTCGGATCCACTTCTTCACAAAGCCTGAGTTTGAAAGCAGGAAACATGTCGGTCTGACGATTTCGTGCTTCTAACACCTTTTACATTAATGGCTCTTTTACGTGTTCTTAAAATTCCCATAAAATACGTTTCTATAATTTTTTAATATATTCAGTCAACTGGTGTGTCTTTTGAACATGATCAACCAAATTCTATCCTCTAATATTCAGCTGTAAGTGAGAAAGCGTCTCTAAAAACCTAAACTCTATTTTTTCAAGTCCTCATTTGCAGTTTTTCAAGTGCAATCTTTACAGAAACTAAGTTTTCAGACCACATTTCGGGAACCTTCGTTTAAAATTCAATTGATTTTCTATACTTTTTCAATATTAGCATGGAAGTACATGCTGTTTCAATGATAGTTTCTGGAAGAGGATCTTCTTGGATCGCTGTAAAGGCTCGTTCATGACATCTGCCAAACCAACAAGTAGGAGTTACGCTGATGAATTGTTTAATATTCCTAAGTAGGGCAACTCCACCTCAATAATAATAGGGCTCTAAGCATTGTCTGTGCTCGGAGCACTGAACCCTGAGTTGCTGTTTCAAGTAGCAGAAACAACTGACAATGCCAGGGCTAGGGCTAGTGCTGACTGCGTCTAGTAGTGCCTGGAAGCGAGAGAAAGGGAGAGTAAGCGAGGCAGTGGTGGCAACTGGTTCAAGGGGGTTCAAGCCTTCTTCAGTCGATGCATGAGGCACTACTCGAGGACTATCGTGTTTCTTATTATATGACGTATCGGTCGAAGGTGGGGGAGAGGGGCGTGTTCAAGTAGCGTTTGGATAACCACAGCTATCTGGACGCATATGTACAGTAGCCGCCAAAGACCATGCAACCTTCATGATGAAATTAGACTAGGTACTTTAGCGTATATTTAGTAACACTGTTTTGATTCATTCAGTTCAATGAATTCTGCGAAGGAATTTCCTATGCTTTTGCGAAAGAGAGAACCCAACTGCACGTTAATATCGATTATACTATGAAGGAACTCCAAAATAAGTGAAATAGGTATAAAAGATA